GGGTTCTCTTGGAGAACCCAGGAGAAGAAAAAATCCGAGAGAACCCAGATCTAGATGTAGAGGTAGCTCATTTGTTCTTTATTCTTATTATAAGGATTTTGTGACAGTAACAATAAAAGGCTCAAAATTGGAACTGGAAAGAATCTTGACGATTTTCACAACCATTGATTTCTCAAGCAATTGATTCTATGGGGAAATTCTTGAAGAGTTAGGAGAACTCAATTCACTTAAATTGCTAAACTTGTGGGCCAAATGCCTCAAGGGAAGCAGCTCAACACTTTCTCAAATGATTCTTACATTGGGAACTTTGCGTTGTGAGGATTACCGTTGACAAAGAAATGCCACAACGAGGAAGAACCAGGAGCACCTCCATCAAAATTTGAGGAAGAAGATGACTTTGCAGCACTCTTTAATTGGAAGTTTGCAGATGGAGAACTCAAAAAAGTAGAGAGGGGGAAAGGAGAGTAAAGAGAGCAAGAGGGCTGTGCTGGTAGTAATGGATAGAGACGGATTAAGTAACGGACAATAATAAGTGTGATGGAGTGTGTAACGTACATGGTAAATGTATCACTGTCCAATTAAATTATACGAATGAGTTTTAATGAGTAATTTCGTAATTATATTAAATATTATGTGTTCTTTATAAAAGCCATAACCAGAAAGCTCTAAAATGAAATTTCTAACTTTATATATAAAGTTATTGCAAATTTATTGTAGCTTTTTACAATTTTTAGAAAAAGCAATACGAAAAAAAATTACCTAACACATATATATCTAAAAATATTGTATGATTACACAAAAGAGTTTCTAATCACAATCTCAAATGCATCCTAAGTATGTTAATTTTTAAATGACTTAATATTTATAATTATTCGATTAAAAAACTTATATTTTTTAATATATATTTAACAATAATAAATTTTTTACAATCAATAAACCAATTATATATATTCAATCAATTTAAAATTTGATATGCATAATTTATATGAATAAAATATTAAATCTAATGATTAATTTTTGAAAGTATTCATTGGAGGATAGTGTTTTTAAAGTTTTGATTCTCATTTTTATTAAAAGTTAGAACTGATATTGTAATTGCGACAAACCAAGTAACTTCTTCCGGTCCAAGTCTTCTCTTCGGATGACCTATAAAGCCCCAAGGTGAATCATTGGGGTAGACACTCCGATACTTAAGTCATCAATAGTATGGTCTACCTTTAAGAATTATGGAAAAAGTAACTTTAGATCAGTTTCAATTACCTTTTTGAGGTGGCTCCTAAGAGTATTTATAGATTTTAACGAGATATCTGTGTGGCCTACCTAACAAGATAATCGGAGTCTAATGTGTCCATTTAGGCGATGATCTTAGGTATACAGGATTGTGTGCAAACATGCCTACTATAACTGTCATGCAATTGTATGATTGGGAAGAACTAAACTTACGAGTTATTTTGGTCATTAAAAAAATGTGGCGATACATCCAAGGTCCTTAACCTCGGACTTATCCTTACAGATATACAATATCTTCTTTTAAATAATAAAAAAAAAGTTACAATATTTGTTGAAATAGCTCAACTGACATATAAACAAGATAAAAAATGATGTTTTGAGTAATTAAATAAATTTGTTGAACTTCTCGTCAAGTTTTTCTGCTACTTTGTCTTGACATTTAGAATTTTTCCTTTTAGGGGAAGAGAATTTTTTTTCCCCACTTTAACTTTATTACTCATCTCTAGGAGTGTTTGTGGTGTGGTTTGGTTCGGATTTTACTATTTTTTAAACCAATCCAATCCATTATTATGTGATAATCAAACCAATCCAATTTAAATCAGATCGGTGTAATTCGGTTGGATTAATTGGTTTTTAATATTATTAAATATATAAGATAATATAAAAATATTTTAACATCAAATAGAAAGTATAATTATAAAATACATTAGGGAAATGTTTGGTATACCCTCCGGTTTAACATCCGGTTCAACACCTTCCGGTTTAGTCATTAAAAATATAATATAAATACAGTCAATTTAGCTTATTCTTATATCATGTGTGCATGATTGTATCATTATACTTGTCTGTTTTTAATTTCATACTAAAAAATAACGATTTTTTAATTACTAAACCAAAGGATATTGAACCGGGTGTTGAATTATAGGGTATGCCAATCACTGTCTAATACATTAACATCTAAATCAGTAAAAACATAATAAAAGGTAAAATTTATAAACAAATTCTTATACTTCTTTACTTTACATTTGTAAAAATTGAAAAGTTTTGAAAATTCTTCTTAGTTACATCACTAGAGGCACAAAAAATAATAAAAAATAACTTCAAATTTCTAGCACAGTATAAATAATTCTTGAAACTTAAAATTAATTTTTTTTCTCTTAATACACTAATAATTTAATCTCATTTTCTAAATCCTATTAAAAGTGAATAACATTTAACATGAATATTACTAAAATGGATTAGAAGCATTCAAAATCAAAATTTAAAACTTCTAAACCAAATATCTAAGAATAGTTGAATATTAAGACTAATTTTGTTATATAGTTTTAAGGTTTTTAGAATGATATTTATTTAAAACTTAGTTAGGAAAATCATAAGATTATTTTAAGAATAAATTAGAAATTTAGAAGTTCTAAGAGTAAAGACGCAAACCAGTTCTGAGAAAATAAAGTTGCAGATAAATTAAAAATTTAAAATTAAGATTAGAGTGCATGATTAAAATAGAGAAATAACTTAGAGAATATGGAGATGTTCTATTTTTATTTTTTTAATTAAGTTAATGGAGTTATAATCTTGTAAAATAAAAAAAGAAAATTTAAAATACTACAAAAAATATGTTATATTATTTAATTAAATTATCTTCTAATCGGATTTTATTTTGTAATCGGGCAGTTCGGGTGGTTTGAAGGTAAAACCACTAACCAAACCAATTATATTTATTTTAAAATTTTAAAATTCAAACCAACCCAATTTTATATCGGTTTGGATCAGTTTTTGATTGGATCAGATCAGTTTAAGTTCGATCAATCGAATTAGATCGGATATAAACACTCCTACTCATCTCTTGAGTTATCTATTCAATTGTAAAAAGATCTCTCTTTATCTTTATCATTTTCCAGGAGTAACATTAATAAAAATATAAATTATCTCTAAATTTTTTAATTTAAATTTAAAAAATATATTGTTCTAGAATAAAAAATATTTCTTTACTTCACAACCAGACAAGAGTCCAACACCGCAAAAAAAAAAGAAAAAAGAAAAAAAGGGATCCGACTTAAGTGTCTAAGAACAAAATCAAATATTATTCAAGACCAAATAAAAAAAAATATTGTTTTATAGTCTGAACTATAAAATAAAAATTGTTTGATGGAGAAGGCTTTATAGGTAAGTTTGAGGAGAACATGATTAGGAGGAGAAAAAATAATATCAAATAATTTATTAAGATAGAAAGAAAAAACAGATAAATAGAGATTATTGAGAATATTTTAAGATATATTTATAAGTAATTATTATTACAAAAATTTTATAATTAATAAATATCTAAAAAAATC